GCACACACGAAGGCTCGGTGGCAACTCATTGGGTGAGCTGCTGCTGGCAGACACGCTGCAACATGACTCCCCATATAAAATACCCCGGTAAACAGCAGCAGTAGCTGCATCTCTCTTTTTCCCCTGTCCTTCATGAAGTACCCCAGGGACAATTCAAGTACCTGTCCGGCGACCAGAGTTCGACTCCCGAACATACTGTTCGCGCGCTTCAGCTCCGACTGCTTCACGCCGAGCCTCAGCGCTACCCCGGCCAGCGTGTCCCCCCGCTGCACCACATACGACGAATCGTAATCACTTGCTGACTTCTCGTCCGCTTCCTTCATGATGTAGTACGCCACAAGAGTTACACCAATCCAGGGGGGCATTATCATTATTATCCAACACAGGTCGTTCCATGGGCGACAATACAGCCACGGGCGGGAGGGGGGGGAGGGGGCGCATCCCGTCAAGTTATTGAGCGGGCTTCCCTCAGAGGAGCGTCCTCATCGTTTCTGCAGCAAAATAGATTTTGTCCGTTACAAACGGTGTGTTGTGGTTGATCCCCTGCTTGTTGGCAACTCGTGCTTGTAGACTACTTGGAGAGCTGAATACAGCAGTGCATTTTCTAATCCAGGGGACGTGCAAGCTCAGTTTTTTTGCCGGCGGGCTTCTGCGAATCGACGGGTCAGCCCCACGCGCGCGGGTCACACCTACTGCGTGTAGTTTGGTCGTGAGGTTCTACGCTGTGCACCTGCAGAATACAGCAGTCACTCCATCAACAGCGCTTCTTCATCATGCCGCGGTGCCTCTACACTCTTTTACACTGCTACTGACTTCAAGGTTGTGGTTCAGCATTCTGTGGGGTTGCGACACTCCAGACGCAGTACTCGTGACGCAAATTACCACGCCAAGCTGAGGGCCAGCAATGTTCAACGCTGAAACATTGAGAAGAACAGCAACCTCCTCTATGTGTCATGCCTCCGCTGTGCTCACGTGCTCTTTTCGTGGAAGAATTCGAGCAGAGTTCCTTGCCGCTTTTTCCCTGCGACCAAAAACGACGGAGACTCTCTCGCTTCCTCCTCCATAACAACGGAAGCTCTCACCTGCACACTTTCGGGATCAGCTCCACCGGCAAGAATCGTCATCGGCAGGCCCTTCTATCGCAAATAACAGCCGTGTACAGTAGTAGTGTCGTTGTTGCGGTCGCCTTATACTGATGTGCGTGGTGTCCCCTGTCCCCCTCCCCACGAAAAAACGCCTTCGTAAACCCTGGCTACGATCGAGAGACAACCCCAGCAACACGAGAGTCGTTACTAGCCACTCGAGAGGACGAGAGCAAGGAGTGACGGTGAGCACAGGGGGGAAGAGAGATAAGAGAGGTAGGGAGAACGTATGGAGGGGTGCCTTACGCTTTTCTATCTTCCACCGGTGAGTGTGTTTTGTTGTTCTAGAGAAACAGGGAGGGTGCAACTTGAGCATATACGATTTGATACACACCTACTGGCTACTGGGCTCGTGTGTGTGAGAGGAATACATATGTCTGTTGAGTTCCGAGCTACTGCTGTATGACTTCCGCAGGTGAGAGAACGGCGCGGAGAAGGGAAGTGTTGTACCGTTGGTGTATTGATAATCTCCCCCCAGCCTTTTCAGCGATGTCCTCCTGCAGACTTCGGTCACGAACCTTCTCTTTGTGCGTAGACTAGCGCCCCTCTTACTGCAACCGCATTGTGCAATATTGTCTCTTTGGTGAAAATCTGCTGGATCCCGTTTTTGATGCACACACCAGCACCAGCACCAGCGGCCAGGAATACGAAGCCCCAGGTGGCGTTTGGAGGACCTCTCAAAAAAGCACACGGCGAAGGGGTTGCAAGCGATCTCGTGGGCGTGAACGAGGAGTCGCGTGCAGTATCATCGTCCTAACGAGGCCTTCGGTGAACATGCATCAAATTTCCGCATCATCGCCCAGCTTGGCAACCCCGTGCCACCATGCCGAAGAGAGCGACGGCGGCGGTGGCGGCAGCAGCAGCGGCAGCTTTCGAGATTTCATGAGCGCACCGGCGTGCCTCATGCCTCCCCCTACCGGTGCTGCGGGGAGCTTTGCATCAGAGCGGGACGGCTGTGACAACGACAGGGGTAGCACAACAATTGCTGTCCGGCGGAAAAATAACCAGATCAGCGGCAGCGCGGACCTACAGCAGCAGCCGGCTCGCTCCTACGGTGAACGGAGATCTGGAACTAGGTCGCGGAGAACGCTTCAGGTGTGCACGTTAGTTGTTCGCCTCCGTTTTCTGGTAGCTGGTACTGGAGCCTCAAAAGGCGTCTGCTCTGACCTCCCCCTTCTTAGGCTGGGGCGCGCGTCACTGACTAAATATTTTGCTGCTCGCTCATTGTTCTCTCGTACCGTAAAACGGGGATGATGATGATGTTGTGATGGCCACTGCTCCCTGAAGTTTCCGTTCGATGGTCAGTAGGCGGTTGATTTTGGACTCCGCGCATGCATTCGGCGGTTAACTTTTACTGGCGCATTTGCACGCTGGTCTGCTTAAGACCGTACATCTGCGGCTGTGCAGCCCCATAGCGCAGACGCTACTCCATAGGTCATTTTCCCTTCGATGCCCTGGTGCACGTGGAGGAGGGAGAGAGGTATAAAGGTGACCCTGCAAGATTTCTTGGGGGTAGAATATCAAACAAGGTAAGAGGTCAACCATGGAGAGAGGCTCGGAAATGCTCAAAAACAACAGCCTACCTTCAAGTATCCTTCATAGAAAATGCCCCGATGACTCATATTTCTCGTGGTCGACCAGCTGCTTGGCTGTATTATGCATTTGGTGTGGAAACAGGGCGTCTGGATATGGGGATGTATAGTGTCGATTGAGCACGACTGGTGTGTCCTCTTGTTTTGGGGCATGTCTTATAATTGTGGGTATATCTCGAATGGGTGGTCTTTCTGTGCGTGTATTTACTTCTCCTTCATTAAGTGATGTCCTCGTTCGTTGTTTTTTGTGAAAGTCACCGGATTTTGATTGGCACGCGGAATAGCCGCTTCCGACAGCCCAGGAAAAAGAAAAGAAAATATGAAAAAAGAACGAACAATAGAGTCGTTGTGTCACGTGTGAAGCACGCGGCGAGACTTTTCCAATGCCTTTTTTAGCGTTCCACGTGTACGCATGAAGTAAATAGCACCCAAAGCTGTCGCTGCCTTTCATGCGATTGGCGTGACTCCTGCCTCTAAAGGAATAAATAATACTGGAGTATAAAGTACTGCACTTCACAAGTAGCGGTAGGAGCAGCAAGGAGCCGTGTGTGGTTGTCGAACTCCTGAAAGTAAGCATAACGTACGTAGAAGCAGCAAGGAGCCGTCTGTGATTGTCGAACTCTCGGAAAGCAAGCAGAACAGCAGAGAACCAGCCACGTAGTAGGCTTTTCAACCTCTACGAGTACGATGCATGCGCATGTTTCACTCAAGAACACCAACACCGAATGTGAACACAACAACGAGAAAGTCCCCAATGTCGTCCGGAGATCTCTAGTCTCTCTCAGATCAGTATGTAAGCGTTGGAAGAGGCTGTGTGCTACCGCTCGCTTCAGCGTACTGCCCCCCCCCCCCCCCCCCCCCCCCCCCCCCCCCCCCCCCCCCCCCCCCCCCCCCCC